GGATTCTTTGGAATTGTGGGGAAACGGCACAACATGTTGGTCTTCCTCATATTTTAAATTAAAGTCGTTATCAAGATTTTTCATTGTGGCGAACGTCGGCCATGCCTTGACAATTTTAATCAAAATTGTCATATACTATATACATAAAAGTCAGGAAAATGACACATTACTGGCGAGGAAATATTGAAGTACGAGGCCCCTTTGGGGCCGAGTACTTTAATTTCCGAGTTAAGTAATTTCACTTTTCTGACGAGTTTTGTATTAAATTTTACCCGAAATCGTATTTTAGTATAAAATTTCAATTTTCATATAGAACATGTCAATCTGTCAGTTATGACAGGGGTCATTACAAACATTTAGCAATGGGCGCGTTCATAAGACACAACTGTTGTGGAACAGTTTAGTCACCGTCCGAATCACGGGCATTGTTTATTTTAATGGTGCCGCTTTGCTCAGTTCTTCGACTGCGACATCAGGAATATCTACTTGTAGCGAAACTCTTTCAGTATTCTAGGGGGAAACAATTCCATTGTCTGTCTATTCTGGTCTTGGGCCTCCAAGCGTGCCCTGTTCTTGTCGGGGTACAACCTCCTGACCTCTCTGTACTAATCAAGGTATCTTTCAGTATCCGCACTTAGGTTAATCCTCGAATACCACTAACCATATGTTAGAAGTCATCATAGCTCTAAGTCCGCTGTTGTTGAACATTCTCTTCAAAACAGTCACAATATTCTTGGAAAAACCAAGTCTCTATCTCATTGCCCCTTTTTCGAATTTATATTTTTGTAAGCATATGAAGATTTAAATATGTACCGCTTTATAGCGAACAGAAACAGTATCTGAAAATAGAAGGCGATAATAACGCGTGTATTTTCAGTAAAAGGTGTCCGGGTTTTTATCTTTCAAAGTAAGAGAAAAGAGGTACTGTGTATGCGGAGCCTTTAGACGAGGTTACATTTTAAAAGAGTACGCACGTATACTGTTGCCGACTTCGTACCAGTAACTTCTGGTATTGGTTGACCAATAGTTTTGATTAGATTTAAAATCTCCTTTTTTCATACTCCAGTGGCTTCGACTGCAACTGGTTTGAAAATGAACCTCTCCATCAAGAGCCAGTAATTTGCTTCACCCTTTTCTGCTGCGAACCTAGATTGATTCACAGTAAATGAAAAATAAGAAGGCGCAAACGTCTCCCAGCATGTAAAATCCCACACAAATCACGAAAGCCCATGGAATCCTAGAATTGAAACTTCATGTCATATCAGCCTGTATGCACTTATCAGACCATATCCAAGTAGAAGAGAATATGAAACTTGGAATGATTTATCCAGGTAAGTATCAAGCTAGGAAGACGGTAAAGCTGAAAGCCAAAAACTTGCCTTAGGTAGGGAGTATTCCAGGTCAGTGGGATTCATATCATGGAGCAGTACCTCAAGGCCATTCCACGCCAGAACTTCATACCATCATTTGGATCTCGAAACTTAAAAAAATGATTGGGATGAAGAAAAGGTAGGAAGCGAGGAAACATGGAATTGTAAAATCCACTTCGTGACTCGGTCACAAGCCTCCGCAACGAACTGGTATGGATGATTGAATCTAAGCTTTATAGCAAAGTTGAGGGTCATATTTTTAATTGGTAATAGTCATGCCTTACTTAGGATTCGAACCCAGGACCCTTGTAGCCAAAGTTAGTAGCTCTAACTTTGGCTACAAGGGTCCTGGGTTCGAATCTCAGGTAAGAGTTGTTTGTGATTGTATAGTGGATTGAGTGGGAAGAGTAGCAAATTGCTAACACTCCGCCCATTATAAAATAAAGGCAATAAAATAAAATAAACAATGTAGCGAACACTCCAGAAATTTCGATAGACTTCGAGGCGCAATGAGAGATTAGTCATCAGTGATAAAGAACGAAGGCAGATGTGACGTTATCTTTCCGAGAAATATGACGTATTTTATTCTAGAATGTTCGCGACCGCTCGGGAACAGTCGACTTTACTATATAAGCAAATCCGATTGCGTTAGTTTGTTCCAACATCGATGCGTTTTTTTGTTATGTTATAGATTGTGAGTGATAAATTATATTTACTGTTACAAATTAAGACAGTTGTAAATTAATTAAGCGCCAGAGCAAAGTGATGCAGGCTTTATAGAGGAGTCGATGGTGTCCGTCTGTTCGTCTGTTTCCGTGAACACGATAACTGTCAAACGCATGAACCGATTCGGTTCAAACTTTGCACAGTTGACCTATATGGCACAAGTAATAAGCCTATTGAAAATGGGTCAACTCCGTAGGGTCACACCGAGGTGCTCTGCTGCTTTTTTAGATCCGCTTTAGGGGTTTATTGTTAATTTAATTGTAAATAATTAAACGACGTAATTACATTTACGTGAGAATAATTTCGAAGCTTCGTCGTAGTCTTCCAGTCTTTCTATGCTTCCATAGTGATGTCAAGCGAATGAGGAAACTCAGATTTGGAATTTAGACCGAATCTCTTCGTAGGAAAACGCAGACTAGGGGGAGTCTGGAAGACATCGAAGAAAAGTGACCGATTTTTTTTCTTTTAAAAGCTCATCTGTGGACCCTTGTGTGAAGGGATCACCGAGGAGTATCGATTGTCTGATAGTCCTTAGTTGAATCCCAGGAGGGAATTTACTGAACATCTCCCTAATTGTTAGCTTAGTAATCTGATCCTGATCATATGGGAGGGTCCAATTTATACATTTGGAATCGTTGTAGAGTCAAACCAAGAGCCAAGAAACAACTCGTTTACCTTTTAGAGGAGCGCATCTCGCCTGATTTCAAAAAATGCTTTGCAGAAGAATATCTTAAAGCCGCGGGAACTGTCGCATCTGGCCACTCTTGACACCGACACGAGGCTGATTGGGGGAAAATCAAAAGCAGCTCAGGTAACAACCAGTGTCTACGACACAATAATTTTTGACACTAGTTTTATTCAACAATATCAATTGTAAATGACCTGATCCCGCCCGATTTCCTCTGCAGCGCAGTGGAGGAATCTCCAAACATTATCGGATCATTGGATTTTGGAATTTGGGCGGTCAAGATGATGTATGCGAAGTTTACGAGTGAATTTCCGAAAGCCAAATAGAGGAAACGAGAACTTTCAGAATGTGGGTTCTCATTCCATCCAATGCCCCAGAAGAACAACAAAGAAATGACTTCAAGCAGTTTACGCTTTTCCACAGAAGCAGGACTAGACTCATCAATAGGACTGTCTGGAAAATTGGATAGCGAGAGACACTCGGAGAGACATCATAGGAGATACACGCGTCTTATGTTACTAATCTGACAGTTTTCTTGGAATGGATAAGACGAAAGATACTTATTCAACCCCATCTTCCGCATGTTGTGTGACATATTTTGTCAAACTTGTTTGGTGCTGGAATCACTAGGCATGAGAGTAGTGTGAGTTTTTCCAAAATCAATCCGTAGAAGGTAATGCACATGTTTCGTCCAATAAAGAAAGGATGGACTCACAGGTCCCCTTGACTGTATCGGCCATCTTCATAAGGTAGAAATTTTTCACTTCAGATTCGCGAGTAAAAAATCCAGATCCTCATCAATATCAATACCGTTGATGCATATCTGCAGTAGTGTTGCTGAGGGCGATATTTCAGGTTGGAAGAAATCTAGGACACAGTTCGGGCGATCAACAAAAGATTGACGTTGAGTCGACCTGGATCGTTTTCCCATTTAACAAAAATTCCAAAGGTGACTCAACAGAAACTCTTTTTTGATCGCACAGTACTCCGAGACACTGATTCCTGGACTGCCGCCTGGTGTGATTGGAACTAGTCGGAGTAGAAATAAATATTCGCTTCGTAGATTTAATAGAAGAAATCCTCTTCCATCATGTAAAAAGTAGACGGGCCAAAGATGGTGGAAAGTTGTTTGTTGATTGAAAATAACATTTAAAAAACCAAAATTCCAACCAGAAGTATTTAACAGGTGTCCTGGCGTTTTATTTCACAGAAAACATCATTTGTAATTGAGAAAGCACCAGCTGTAATATTTGGAGTGTAATTCAGTGTCATTAAATTTCAGATTAATATTATCAAGAATATTGTACAACTATTGGTATTGCACAACTAAATAACAGGAGTTAAATCTAAAAAATGTGTTCTACCGTATGCTAATCTAAATTACAATACATTGGACGCTGTCCGAACTTACTAATTACGATTTCCGAATAACAACTTGTAGGTTATAGCTATACGAGGCTACACTAAATGTGCTAATTTTTGCTACAATTTTTACTATCATCATATAAGCTGAAATACACGCAACAAAATTTTAGAAATTTCTGTCTAATATTAAACCGAATATCGTTAGCGTGCATTATGGTTGTCATAAAAACGGAATTTCGTTAATTAAGGACCCGCAAACCATTTTATTTGTCCTTTTTTGCTTAAAGTTGGAAAAAGAATTACAAATTTAATTAAAATTGATATCTAAAGATGACTATCGCCTAACATATTTCCAGTAAAATTTCGACGGTTGAGGTATTAAGAACGACGTTATAGGAGATAATCAAGACGTAAAGGACAATGTGGATAATTGGATCGCCTTAGGGCAAGCGCGAGCAACCCTTGAGGAAGTTGCTGTCTATTGGTTCATCCGACTACCGGTTGTGTTCTGATTGGCCGCACGTGCCCTTTACTATAACACATTGGCAGGAGAGCTTTCTGCTAAAGCTCCTCGTCAACTTGCAGCACTTAATAGTTTGCAGTCGCTACGCCGGCTACCGAAACGCATTAACACTCCTGATGGATTAATTTAAAATCAATAGCGGCTAGGGGTCGATTATTCCAATTGCACGTTTTAATTAACGCAAGCAGTTGACATACGCAAAATAATACTCGGAAACGTTGCATTTTTGTCCGTTAAAAGATAACATCGAAAGGAACTTCTTAACCAGGGCAGCAGGTTCTTTGACTAACTGCAACCTATAAGTGGACGTACTGGAGGGCGGGAAGTTTCGACCCTCATCACGGGTCATCCTCGTCACAGTCAAGTGGCCAACAGTGCCACCGTGAACGTCGTTAACAACCACCGCAGTTATTAGCCTGTGTATTAACTTGGAACAGTTTTTCGAGAAAAAAAGGAAGCGTCACGTTGTCGTCGGCCGGTAAGTGCAATTTTTTATTATACGCAGATTAATTCGATTTTCTTAAATTTTTGTATGTTTACAAACATCTGGTACACATTGTGGGAAATCTGTGCCCAATAAGGGGAAATTAATGTGTTTTATGTAAATGTAATGAATAATTTAAGATGAAGCATGCGATACGGTATGAAGTGTGCTGAATGCCGCCTAATTTGTGCCTTAATATTTATTTCGTTCATCACCTGTGCAAACAACTCAATGCTTTTTAATTTAATTGCGCCACTTGGAGATGCGGTGATCTAAACGTACCAACCGTCATGTCGAATTGATTTAAAAAACTATTCGGGGGTTCAGTTTGATTTGTCAAGGCGAAAAGGACCACTTTTATTAGTCCTGTTACGCGCGTTTCGAATACACAATAAATAAAATTCTTAATTTTCCGATCGTATTTTCAATTAACTTTGTAACGACATAGGTTAATTTTTTCATATAATATTTTAGGTATATATTTATTTCTTTCCGCTTTTTAATTTACCAAATTTCATTTTCGACTGGTATAATTTTTCAATAAATTAAACTCCTCATTTGGTGTATAGGTAAACTTCAATCAATTAACATCAGTACTTAATCGTTTTTATTGTCCCCGAACCACTTGCTTTCAATTTGAGTAAGTTAGTTGCAATAAAGTGTTTGGCATGGTACAAATTTGTTGAATCCGAGTCAAATAGATTGGAACTGAAAGGAAGTAGTGTCTAATAATGAGCTGAGTAGATTGGAAACTATTGCAAATTCTATTTCTGAAAATAGGTATTATCGAATGGTGACTTCTAGTTGATCATTTCAAATAAACTACTTTTATTCGGTTTTTTTAATCCTTCTGTAAATTGTTGTTCAATTTATTTTATAAAAATACCCGCTATTTTACCTTGTGGTATTTTAGCGGAGTCTTGAAATTGCCAGTAAACCATACATCTAAACCGAATGATTGTTGCAGTTTATTCAATATTAAAGACTAGCCCAATATGTAAAGAGTGTTCAAAAACTTATACAATGTGCTCAGAAATTCATGTCAAACTCAAACTGTAAAAACCTAATTGTCTATATAACATGAACACCCCATTTTACATTTTACGACATTTGCATGAAAAACGTAAATCTTCTAAAAATGCATGAATTTAACGTAATCTTTCATAATAGGCATTTATTTGCACTTCCAAGTCTCAAACAGACAGTTATCAATGAAGTTGCCATTACTGCATATGAAATCGAAATTACGTACTTGAAGCAAATCGTAAGTAATAAAGACTTTATTATTAACAATCAACAAGATCTAATAAAATCATTACAAGAGCAAATCGAACTCTTACGCAAAGTAACTTTGACATGTCAATCCGAAAAGGAACAACCTACGTCTGTAGCAAAATCCAAAATTAATCAATCCAAAAATAAACCCTCCGACGCCCAAAATACTTCCTACAGTAGCATAACAAGGATGAACGCCTCTACCTCGACGGTAAAAAACAAGCCAGCCCCGGGGCCAGAGCCCATACAGACACGCGAGGATCCCGCCCCTACCGAACCAAAGAATCTCCAAGAGCCGCAGCTCCAGGTTTTGAACAAAATTATACATCTAGAAAACGACGATGGATTCAAACCTGTATCGTCTAAGAAAACCATAAAAAAGAAGAGCAACGATACTGTCCTAGGAACACGTCCTCAATGTGAAATTTCTGCCGTGGTCAGCAGGAGAAATGTGTTCGTCTCACGTCTCCATCCAGAGACGACATCCGATCAACTAGCCGAGTACGTAAAAAAGAGTGATGTCAAGTTACTGGCCGTGGAAAAACTTGAAATCCAATCTAGTTCTATAGCTGCATTTAAAATTGTGGTCCCAGCCACAGAAATGGATAAGGTATTCAAAGGAGACATGTGGCCACAGTACACAATTATTCGACCCTACCGGGAACCCAACCGAAATTTTCAAATGGCGACCCTACCCACGAAACCTACCTAACCTCAGCCGGTCAACATCATGTATTGAAGCTATGTCATATAAACATACAGTGCCTATCCAATAAAATAGACTCAATCGAACTACTATGCAATAAATATCAGCCGACTTTTTTATGTATCAGCGAACATTGGGTGAAGGATCCCGATTTCTTTGACTTTAACCACCTGCCCGGATACGAGTGCCTAACTTACTTCTGTAGGCAATCACGTGTGCACGGCGGTGTGGCCATATTTGTACATAAAACTTTTGCTAATACGTGTAGAACTATTAAAAACGCATCAGAATTTTCGTGTGAATTAGACTTTGAGTGTGCCGCTTTAGAAGTCTGTAAGTCCTCAACGTGTATTCTAGTCATATATCGCTCCCCAAACGGTGACCTTAAATTATTTTTAGATAGACTGTCAAATTTACTCTTAACATTAAATGATAGATATAAAACGATTCTTCTCTGTGGAGACCTAAATGTAGACTCTCTTTCACCTACGAACAATTTAAAAAAGCTAATGGATGTGATCGAATCTTTCAACCTCCATTCCTTAATTAATGTTCCAACTAGAATCACAAACTTCACAAAAAGCGCTCTTGACTATATTATAACGAACTTACCATCGGCATCCATAATTAACTGCTCAGTATTTGATCCTGGTCTGTCTGATCACGCGGCGCAAATATTAAGCTGGACCATAAGCTCTATTGCTGTGAAGAAGAAATACTCACCTCCGATATTTGGTCGGAGGTTCACTAAAACAGCCGTAAATGAATTTCTGTGGCTATTTTCCAATGCCAGCATAAACATTAATATCCACAGCGAAATCGAACCTGCATTCGCAGAATTTTGGAACACGTTCGAATGGTGTTTCAACATAGCGTTTCCTAAAAAACTATCACCATCTCAACAAAGATACATGACAACACATCCAGAAGAACTGTTCAAATATTCACATGAGACCCGCATGGCAATTAAAAACCTGACGCATTTGAACTGGATCAGGAAAACCTCAAATAACTCATGCCTAAATGTCAGATACAAATCAATGAAGAAGCAACTTGAACATCAAATTAAATCCGAAAAGGTGCGATTTTTCTCCAATTTTATAAACTCATCCTCAAATAAGTCGCGTGCCCTCTGGAACATCGTTCGGAGTAAACTGAGTAGCGTGTCTAACAATATCCCCCACATCCGTAATCATCAAGGAGATATTCTCAAAGATTCACGAGGAATATCAAATTATTTTGGAAATTTCTTCGTGCATTCAATTCAAAATCTCATTACTTCGAACTTCAAAAACGACAATCACCAAAGCCGCAACGAACGAGATAGAATGAACTCTAATTCATTTTTTATGCCTCCTTTTTCGTACGCATGTGTATTAAAGGCCATAAATACATTGTCTAACAATAAATCCAAAGGGCCCGACGAAGTACCCCTTGGGATCATTAAAGAGTGCAGTGTTGTAATATCGCATTACCTTAGTGACCTGATTAATATATCAATCGCGTGTGGTAAATTCCCTATTCGACTAAAATCTGCTAAAGTTACTCCGGTTTTTAAAAAGGGCGATCGCGCAGATCCGTCCAACTATCGTCCTATCTCGCAGCTGTCCGTGTTTTCCAAAATTATGGAGAAAGTGTTTTGCGAAAAATTAAGCAATTTCTTAAACAAGAATAGCATATTAAGCAATTCCCAGCATGGATTCAGGGAAGGATTCTCCACTGAAACCGCAACAATTGACTACCTCCAAGAAATCCACAATAATTTAGATCAACATCAAGTAGTGATTTCGGTTCTGCTGGACATCACAAGGGCATTCGACACCGTTGACCACGGTCTCCTGGCGAATAAACTAGCAGCAGTAGGTGTTAGAGGAAGTGCTAACGACTGGGTTATATCTTTTATCTCTAACCGAACTTTTAAAGTCCACCTTGATGGAGAAGAGTCCGAAGAATTTTCCACTGGCGTGGGTACACCACAAGGCAGCACTCTAGCGCCCCTGTTATTTTTAATTTACGTGAACGATATGGTCGAATATTTATCTGAGCATTGCAAACTATTTCTGTACGCCGATGACATCAATATCGTCATTTCCTCATCAACATTGGAAGAGGCAACCGCGAAACTCGAAACAGTTATCGCCCTTAAAAACAACCTGCTTGCGTTTTAATTATGGTAGAGTGCGCAGTGCTACGCCCTTAAAAGTACGTATAGACAATAATGATGAACTGGTAGCTGCCGAAACTGCTAAATTTTTAGGTACTACAATAGACAGCAAGTTAACTTTTTCCCATCACGTTGACGAAGTGTGTTCTAAACTTAAAAAATTGCATTACGCATTTATTTGTCTAAGCAACACTTTAGATCTTAAAGCAATTCTCACCGTATATTTTGCCAAAGTATACTCAATTATCAGTTACAACATAGTTGTGTGGGGCCAGGCTACAGAAGCCGAGCGTGTATTTATTCTACAAAAGAGAATAATTCGACGCATCTTTCGTCTGAAGTATCGCGAATCCTGCCGTCAAACTTTCAAAAATCACCAGCTTTTAACATTTATATCTATATATTTATATAAAATTTTAACATATATACATGTAAATATACATCTATTTAAACGTAACTGTGATAATCATAAGTATTCAACTAGAACTGGGCACAATATAATACTTACCTAAATGCAATCACACTAACTTCAAAAAATCGGTACATTACGCAGGCTGCTACTTGTACAATGCTCTACCACAAAAAATAAAAGAAATAAAAAATAAAAATCAGTACAAAAATGCACTTAGAACCTATCTAGTCAGCAATTGCTATTACTCGCTCCAAGAATTTGTGAAGTCATAGATGTTATCTGTTGTACATTATCTGTTGTACGTTATCTGTTGTACGTTATCTGTGGTATGTTATGTGAACTGTAATAATATTATAGATTAATCATTTTGTATATTACATAATAGTTAATGACTTACCTTTACATTTTAGAAATGGAAACAAAAGGTTAAATAAAAT